CTCTCTCTCTGCCCCTTCCCTGCTCACACTCTGTCTCTCTCTCTCTCTCTCTCAACAATAAGTAAACATTTAAAAAAATAATTAAAAAAAAAAATTCTGTTCCTCAGTCACATTAGCCACACTGCAGGTGCTCAACAGCTATATGTGGTTAGAGGTGGTTGTATTAGCATACGTATCAAACATTTCCATCGCTGAAGAAAGTCCCATTGGATGAGGCATCACTATGGAACGTTATGAGGTATCTAAAAAATCTCAAAGGTTTTTTAAATATCCCAGAAAAATGCTTCTGGTATATCACTGAGAAAAATAGAATCCAAAATGGCACAAGTGATCTGCGGGACGGGATTAAATAATGTTATTTTTATACTTTTGTAAACTTCGCAGATTTCTTAGAATTCTCTTTCTCTTACAACGAGGAGAAGAAAAAGGCTTGTTTTTTTTGTTTTGTTTTTGTTTTGAGAGAAATTTGAATAGGGGGCACTTACCCGTTCAATTTGTGGGTACATACTAAAAGAAACTGGCACCATCAGTCCCATTACTAAGACAGTACAAGACAGCTTGAAGGTCCATAATGACCATGGATATTGCCGGAAAAACTGGGTCCTGTAAGAGACAAGGTTACTGGGCTTTCTTCAGAGGTTGGCCCTCTGCTCTAACGGTCTTACTTGCAGCTGGCCGGGCCCACGCCTTGGTCCCCACTCACCAGCAAACAAGCGATACCAGCAGCTGCACTGACGGAGCGCTCGCTGGGCGTCAGGTCTGGGGTTCAGCACTTCCCAGGCATTTGCCCATTTTGATCCCCAACAACCCTTTGAAGTTTGTGTTATCATCACCCCCTTTCACACAAACAAGGACACAGCCACCGACCAGTTAAGTCACTTGTCCAAAATCCCACACCTCCAAAGTGAGAGGCCAGATTCTAGATGCTGGGCTCTGCTGACATGCATGTGACATTCTGACCCAGCCTGGGAGTCAGAGATCCAGGGGCCTGGGTCCGGCTGCCACTGACAGACTGCAGGGTCTTGGGCAAGACACCTTCCCTTCCTGAGCCTGGGTTCATTCACACGCAGAATAAAAGGGCTGAGTCAGAAGAGCCACCGAGGTCACTCCAGGTTGGACACTATCACAGCTGTGAGGGCCCACTGGGAAATGAACGCCATCCCTTCTCCCCAGGCCGCTCGAGTCACTAGGTGGGCTTCAAGGGATAGACCGGAGGGTGCCAGCTTTCAGAGGAAGCCCAGCTCTGACCCAGCCAGACTGGTCCATGAAGAACCTGGCCAGCATTAGTCTCTACAGCCATCCAGCCGGTGGCCCATGGGAAGTAACACTTGGCTCTAAGCGGCATGCTGCTACTTCTAGAAAACACTCCTTATGTGGTCCTAACGAAGGCTTTCTAACTCATCACGCTGGATAGAGGGGATCGGTTCCGGTGACCCCATCTGGGCCAACTGAGTCCTCCTCTGGGAGTTTGTGAACTGAGTGGAAGACATTCCCTGTCTCTGCGGGGGTTTGCCACGTTTCTATCACTCCCCCGGACTCTTTGAGGATAGCAGCTGGGAGGTGTTGGCAGTCACGTCCCTCATCACCATGAAGAAGCCAGCGTGTGACAGGACAGAGGGAAGCTGACACCGTGAAGATAGGACTGTCCCTGCGGTGGGGCGTCTGCTCAGCTGCCCTGGGCTACGCTCTTTGCCCGCACCCAGTATCTAAACCAACACACCTGCCTTCCGGCCTAAGCTACTGCGTGTTGGGCTTGTCACTGGCAGGTCCCCAGGACTTCCTCCCAACCGGCCATTTCTTGCTTCTCAAAAGGGATGATGGTCTGCTGAATCTAGGCCACTTAGGCTAATTTAACACATGCTTGAATGAAGGGGGAAGGCAGGCTTGAGCCACACTCACAACACATCAGAGCTGGGAGAACCTGCCAATCATCTCGACTCAGCATTCGAGACCTGAGGGGCTGTGCCTCAGCAGGTGCTGGGACGCGCCCAGGAACACACAGCTAGCTGAGGACAGGGTCTGGGTGAGATTCCACGTTTAAGGAACAGGCAAATCTGGATTTCCATGCGTGCCCCACGTGAATCCTGCTGTCCTAACTGTGATGAACAGAATGTAGCAGGAAGGTGACCAAAGAAACTTCTTCCCATCCCTCCCAGCAGGCTCGGTGTTTGACAAGTTTTGTAAGGATTTTGAGTGTCAAACGTCTATTCATACCTGCCTCTTACCTTATGAAAAAGTGGGAGAAGACTTCAGGGATAAAAGCGGAGGTCCCAAACAGCACGATTCTGGATGTCGCCGTGTCTTTAACGGCCTAGTAGAAATGGAAAGGAAGCACCTTAACACACGGCATGAGGCCATTTCCGGATATCCTTCAGCAGCTCTCTTTTCTCACTTAGAAAAATAATGCAGGTGGAGAGAGGTGGAGGCAGCCCCATGGGCGTGCAGCTGGAGGACCGCTAGGGCGGGTGCAGGAGCAACTGGAGACGGGATTTGCCTCCGCTGACTCCACAGTGGTCTCCATTGGCCTGCCAACCACCCAAAGTACAAAGCAAAGGCAGCCTATAGAAAAATCGTCACCTAGAACCAAAGGGCAGGCCCCTTGGTGGAAATGCTGGAAGGGCCCCCCGAGGACTGCTCTGCTGCATGATTTCCTTCCAATCCAGGACGCTGCCACAGGCCTCTGATCCCGAGCAGCAGCCCAGATATTCCTACCCCTTTGAGTGGAGGAACGTTCCAGAAGTCCAGCTCAGAGGGCACTGGCGTGGCATCACACCCACACGTGCCATGCACGGATTCACCTGCGTGCACCCACCTTTTGCTTGTGTAATGAGGGGTGCTACAAAATCTTACTTTGCACGAGTAAGTTGTACGGTTGATAACATTTTGTCATCTTTTCTATAATACACATTACTCTATACATCCAACATTTAAACATGTTATTTACTGTATGGGTTATATATGCACAAAGTCATGTGTACTCAAGGGCAACGTAAGAGACTTTCCGGGGAAATTCTGACTATAGATGACACTCACATGTTAACTTCAGATCCCAGCCCCGGGTAAGGCATGACTCCACGGACAGCACTGCTCTGCCCAAGATGAACAGGCATGAGGCCACTGTCCCCCTCCAACCCCGTCTCTTCCACAGCTGGCTTCCCAGGACGTGCCCACAGCCTGCCTTCTGGGTTTCCCTCCCATGCCCGCCAGCCCCGCTCTCTGTTTCCCACATCAGATGTTGCTCAGCTCATCCGATTCCTCTGCAGAGAACGCCTTTCCCCCACAGGGACAGAGGGGGCCGAGGAGGGTGGCACTTAAACTTTCAGGAATATAAAATACAACTGCTCAACTTCAGGGAGAGAAAAGCGGCTGCCGAGTGTGGTGTGTTTCCACGTCAGTGGGGCGAGGCCAGCCTCTCTCCACTTGTGTGTGAGGGGAGGACACTGCAAAGCAGACACCTATATTGGGGGGCACTGGGACACGTGTTACACTCCGCGGCGGAGTGCCTTCCAAGGCCCGTCAAGGGAAAACAACGCGGACTGGCCCCTGAAATCTGATCAAACAGATCAAATCTGATCTGTTACAATCAGATATTGCTGGTTGCGTAGTTTCTGAAATTTTAGCCACAGAAAATAAACCTTTTGGTGACAGGGAAATGTTGAAAGAATGCTTATCCTTATGCACAGTTGCAGACACTATTCTTTTTATTATTATTATTATTATTATTATTATTATTATTTTGGAGAGAATGAGAAAGAGAAAGCGTGCATGCATGCACAAGGGGGCAGGAGAGGGGCAGAGGAGAGAGGGGGAGCAGGGGAGAGAAAGTGAGAGAGAGAGAGCACAAGTGAGAGAGAGAGCGCGAGCGAGAGAGAATCTTAAGCAGGCTCCATGCTTAGCTCAGAGTCTGATGCGGGCACAATCCCACGACTCTGGGATCATGACCTGAGCCAAAAATCAAGCCTCAGATGCTCAACTGACTGAGCCACCCAGGTGCACCAATAAACGTTTTTTCTTTCTTTCTTTCTTTCTTTCTTTCTTTCTTTCTTTCTTTCTTT